TCACACCCAAGGTCCCTGATGCCCCTTTCCTGTCTGCAGGTCCTGTCCCCACGCAAAATAACTCACACAAAAAGCCCTCCATGAAGCATCCTGCCCTGATCTCAGCAACCCACACCGCAGCCCAGACCCCTTAATGTGACATTTAATACCATGCCAGGGCATGGGCTCCTGTAGCCCAAACAGGTTGTATTTTATAAATCTCCTTAGGTGTGAGGAAATAAAGAAATAGATTTTTTTAAAAGATTTATTTATTTTTAGAGAGTGTGGGGAGAGGGTCAGAGAGAGAGAGAATCTCTAGCAGACTCATCGCTGAGCATGGAGCCGGACTTGGGGCTCAATCCCATGACCCTGAGATCATGACCCAAGCCAACATCAAGAGTCGGAAGCTTAACCCCACTAGGTGCACTGGATAGACAGATTTTTGTCTAACTCACCTTGTTTATAGTGATCCTACTTGATGAATTTGGTGTAAAGAGTCTCTAGTCCCATGAAATTTTTTAACGTAATAAAATTTACTTCAAAACATTTTACATTTTGCTTCTGATGGTGCTCTCGGAAGCTGGATCCTTCAGTGATCTGGCCTCTTTTGGGATCTCAGGCTGCGAGAAAGGAGCCAGTGTAAGAGATGTTTCCACACCTAAGGGAGCCACCAGTGTCGGGAATGCGTGGGAAGTACACGCGCTTGTAAGGAAGGCACACTTCCCTGATTTTCTGAACGGGACTTTCACCTGAAATAGAAGAGCTAACATGGAGGTCATGTGCTGGGCCCTTGTCCCTAAGCCTGGAGTCAGACACGCGCCATGCCGCAGGTCTCCCTTCACAGCCCAGCAAGAGCCCACGCTCCCGTTTCACAGGTGAGGACACTGAGGCTCGGTGGGGTTTCCACATCCGTCCAACCCTGAGCCTGGGTTTTTACTCAACAAACGTCCTGACTTTTTCTGGAATTTTGTCCAAATGTTCTCTATCTGTGCTGCTTCTAACACTACATTTTTATCAGGTTTGAGAAAACTAAACTTCTGTCCAGAGAGAGAACCCTCTCTCCATTCAGACACTAGCTTCTGTCTTGGGCAGGAAGGCTCTCGGCTTCTCTGCCAGGTGTGCTGAAACCCAATGGGTTGGAGCTGCCACGTGCTTGAGGGGACAGGGCCCAACTGTCATGCTTCCCAGAGATGCCTAGGAACTCTTATCATCTTTTAGAATTATTGATTTGTCTATTTACATTGTCTCTGCACCCCACTCGTGACCTTGATATCGAGAGTCGCACGTCCCACTGACTGAGCCAGCAGGGTGCCCCCCACCCACTCTTATTATTTGTGCTTGGCCGCAGTCCCTGTTGAGGGTGCTTGATGAACCTCAGCTGAGCCCACAGCACTGGTGATATCCCTGGGCTCAGCTGAGGTCCCAGGGCACAGACACCCCTTCTCTGCCCTGGCCTGTAATTAACAATTAGGGTCCTGCCTGGGCCCCCTCTTTTGACTCCTCCACCTTCTAGTGAGCTCGTCCACTCTAGAACACGCACCACCCACTCTGACCTCCTGATCCCCAGCCACCGGCCTCACCTGCCCACCCGCCCGCCACTCCCCGGCTCTGCCCGTTCCACCCACTCCCTGGCCACCTGGCTCTCTGACCACTGAACTGGCTCAGACCTTGGCCCCCCCCAGACTCCACTCACTGCTCCTCCTGCCCCCTTCCTGGCAGCCCTCCGAAGCTGGCCAGCCCCCGGGGTGGCCCTCCCCGCTGCCAGAGTGGGACACAGACAACGGGGTCCCATCAGGGAGAGAGAGAGGGATGCCCAAAAATGCTTGACACTGCAATGGTCACCTCCCTGTGACCACTACTACAGAAATAAATTCTATTCCCCACTCCATTCCAGAGATGAGTTCATAGCCGCAGGACACACACAAGACCAGGGGGCAGGAGTTAAAAGCAGAAGCAATAGAGAAAGAGAGAAAACAGGGTATGCAGACAAGGAGCACCGTCTTGGCTCTGAGGGCAAAACTTTGTCCCCAACTTCCTCACGGTGGCACGAGGCAGGCGCTGCTGGGCCCAGTGGACCAAGGTTGGGATGAGATAGAAATCTCTGCCTGGTCTGATGGTAAGACGCTCAAGCTCTCCCACGGAGCCAGCCTTTTCTTCTTCCGTCCAATGTCCACGGTCCCCATCCAGCCTCAGGGGTGTCACCTGCCATGTGGAGAACAGGACACCTGGCCACGGGGGGCTTGTCCGCAGGAGGGAAGCTGTGGACACCGGGCGCGAGGGAGGCCTCCCTGCAGATGGCCCATGGGTCTGCCCGCAGGACTGGCCAGACTCACTCCTTCACTGCAAGGCAGCAAACAACAAATAGGTTTGTCTTTCGGGGAGATAACATTAGCCTCAATCTTACCATTTTACTAAATAAATCATTTTAAATTAATGACACTGCACTCTGGAAAGAATTGGCTCTGGTTGACTTTCCCGTTCGCACTGATTCTCTCACCGGCAGACGTCATCAGTCCCGCAGATCAAGCATCGTGGGCACACTCGTTGCAGACACGCCTACCGTCCCTGGCCGAGGCAGGTACCGGGAGCCTGAGGGCATCGGAGACAGAGGCCACCGCTGGGCCGCTCGGCCTCCATCCCTGTGATGTCTCACAGGATGCGGCTGAGGAGGGCCTCCTCCCGGGGGGGCTTCATCCTCTGCCCTTTGGTTCCCTGGGAAATCCATTCATTAACACGTCAACTGCTTTCCTCCCAACTCAAGAGTCTCAAAGAACCTCCGGAAACCCCCTCAGGGAAGGGGACAGGGGAGCGGACCTCTGGGGCCAGGACCCTGCATGGGGGACCAGGCTAGCGAGAACCGTCCCAGGAGTGTGGGGCACGGACCGTGCACATGAGCAGACAGACACGGGCTCGCGCTCTGCCCTGGCCACTGTGATGGCCTGAACGTGTGTGTCTGAATCCCTATGTGGGAGCATGAGCCCAGTGCCATGGTCTCAGGAGGGGGCATCAGTAGGAAGTGACCAGGCCCCAAGTGAGGGTGCACCTCCTGCGGTGGGATCAGTGCCCTTGCAAAGGGGCCCCAGAGGCCCCTCTCCCCTTTCTGCACCAGGAGGGCACACGGGAAGGCTGTCTGCCTCCCGGAAGGGTCTCAGCCCAGGACCAGCCCCTCTGCATCGGACCTCAGACTTCCAGCCCCTGGATCTGGGAGAAATCAGTGTCTGTTGTTTACAAGCTCATCCCCGGTGCTCGGTGCAGCAGCCGGAGCTGAGACTGCCCTCCTGTCGCGGAACCTCACTGCCTCAGCAGCGGCGCGTGCAGTGTGAACAGCCAGACGGCAACGGAGCCTTTGCTGCGCGCTGTCTGAACACGTCAGTCAGCTCATTTCATGCCGATCACAACCCTATGAGGTCAGTCCGATAATTATCCCCATTTTCAAGTGAGAACATTTAGGGACAGAAAGGTAAGTGATGACCAGGTGGCCCAAGGCCACAAGCACGAGTGGCAGAGCGGGAGGGATTGATGAAGTGACACATGACACATTTCACAGAAATCCCGGCATTTAGAAAAACTCAGCACCAGGAGCTGTTATTGCTGTTAATTTTGTGCCTTCGTGGGCTGGAGAGGGAAGGCCAAACAGGGGTGAGGACGTGAACCCCCCCCCGGAAGGGATGCAAGCATGCGTGCTCTGAGACTGGCCCGCCCACGTGGCCCAGGGTGACCACCCACGCAATCTGGGAGCTGCTTCCAGGCACTTTCATTCCCCAAACACAGACCGCTGGAGTCGGAGAGCTGGAAAAAAAGCACCCCCTCACCTGCTCCCTCCAACAAGGAAGCTGAGGCCTGGGGAAGTCACTGACTGGGCAGAGGGGCCTTTCCACCTGAACAGAGCCCTCCCCACCCCCCAGGTGGCTCCTATATGTTCTCCCCTCCCCTTGCTTTATTTCTCTTCGCCAATGCGCCGTCTCACTCACTCGTTTGCTTCTGCTTCTTGTCTGCTTCCCTCAACCAGACGGCAAGCCCACGAAGACTGATATCCATGGCAGTGTTGGCCACTGGGCCTCCAAGGCGTGGAAGTGCCTGACACTTTGCTGTGGCTTGGAAGTCGGCGTTGACTGAGAGAGTCTCCAGCCTACCGGGTGAGCCCCTCATGAGTCCGCTCCCGGGTCCATACTGGGCTCTGCGGACAAGGCGCTGGCAACAGCAGACCCCACCTGGCAGCTCTTCCTGCACTGATGGGCATCCCCAGAGCCTGGCCACCTGCACCGGGATCTCGGCCGCCTGGCGTCCGGGTGGGAATAACCCCCCGTCTGTGGCATCTGCCCCAGCAGGCCGAGCACCTCATTCCCCCTTCCCAAGGCCACCTGGGAGAGCCAGGTCTGCCCCACCAGCCCATTAGGACTCTGGCTTGGGGTCTACTTTCTCACCAGCCACGAGGATCCTCATGTCCCATGGGGAAGGAAACCAGCCTGAACAGCGGTTTCCCTATTTGTGGGGCAAGAATCCCCACAGGAGGATCTGCCGTCCACTCAGCAGACGCTGACTTCTTGGGCCACAAGTGCTGAAGAGAGGCCCAGTCTTCCTTCCTCAAAAGGGCAGAAAGCAGCCCACCCACGTCCCTCCTCCATCCCGGAGGACCCCAGAGGTCTCCCCACCCACAGCTCCTCCTCCAAGAGATCCCCCCCACCTTCGACCTCAGCGGCTCCAGCCCATCTTTTCCCAAAATTTCTCTCCTAAAGCATGAGAAGCAGGGCCCTCCCCCACGTTGCACATCGCCAGAGAAAAGCAAGAACCATTGGGACCAGACTTTATTTGACTTCGCTCCCTCCACTGGGCTCCGGGGTCGGCTTACACGTGACTGTGCAGGTGGGACAGGCCAGGACCTCCAGGGACACGGACGGGCCAGGAGGGTGAGAACAACCAATGACTGACATCCGGGGCTCCTCGCTTGTGGAATTGTGCAGAAGGGGTGAAAGGCAGCAGGAGGGCTGGTGTGGACTGCCGCCAATGTCCACACACCCGGGTCAGACCAACAGGCAGCATAGCCACTGCAAAAGAAGAACCCCCGGATGAGCTCCGTGTTCCTCTGGGAGCTGGCACGACTGTGCCAGAGACACCTTCCTGCCTGGTGTGGTGTGACCTGTGATGACTCCATGCTCCCCTGAGCACCTGGGAGCCCTTAACTCAGTCCCAACTCCATGAGCCCTCTCAGCAGGTGGCTTAGGAAAGGCTCAGACTCAAGAGGGGCTTCCACCAACAGGTGTGTGCGTGTGCATCAGTGCACTAGCATGTGTGTGTGTGTGTGTATACACACAATGTCAGGGTCGACACTGAGGTCCGGGTACCTGCCGGTACACCTTCAGGAAGACCTCCCCCACATCATTGGAAATAGGTCACCAACATTCCTGCTGGGTTTGGATCACCTTCTCTGCATTCATCTAAGACATCCGTTCCTGGAAGTCAGCCGTTGAATCGCACCCACCACCCATATTTCCATTCCGATCAGCGAGGAATGGCATCCCAACATGATCTGAGATGAAGGTGTAGCTTTATCTTCAAGATAATAAGGGATGTATGTGTTGGGAAGACCATGGGACAATCCCATTTCTCCCCACAGTTGCCACCCGAGAAGGCACGCTAGAGCCACGTGGAAATAACACAGGTCACTGAGCGAGCCCCACTCGGCACCTGTGACAATCCAGGATCCAAGTCTCATCAGCAAGCCGTTCCCCAGAACCCCAGCCACCTATCTCAGCCAGGGAGAGCCAGACCACGCTGCTCTGGTCCTCGTCCATCAGCCTGAATAGTTCTAGAACTCCAGAGAAGGAAGGAAATTAGACTTCAGGACTGCAGAGAGCTGCCTCTGTCCAGCATCCCGCCACAAGCCCCCTTCCCTGGCCCCACAACCCCCACGTGGCTGTAGGGACTCTGGAAAGCTCCATGTGGCATCCCTCTGTCCCAGGGGACAAGCTCATCATCTCCACCCTCCGAGGCTCTAGAACTTCATTCTTTCCATGGGGCCGGGGGAGGCGGGAGCTGTGGACAGATTGCTGTCACCACTTGGTGGGTGAGCTACTCCCTCCCCTTACTCTGTAGCGGCCCTGCCTTTTCCCGCTAGGACCACCCCCACACCCAGTGAGGAGACCCCTCCCAGAACAGGATGCCTTCACGTGCATCCACAGCCCGAGGTGGCAGAAGCACACACAGCCCTCCTGGGAGCTGACATGGGCTCTGCACATGACCTCCAAACAGACACTAAGACATTCTCCCTCTGGCCCTTTGCTTTTGCTGTTCCTTCCACCTAGAATGTTCTAGCCTCCCCCATCCCTTCCAAACACTCTTACACATCCTTCATTGTAAATCAGGGTTAAACTGGGCCAGAGAGGACAAATGGGTTTTATCACCTGTGGTAAGTCTAAACTGGTGGTGGTGGCTGTGGGGGGGACCACGTTGCTGCAGGAGACAGACCAGAGGTGGAGGGGGAGGGAAGGGATGGAGGAGGGGAGAGGGGAGCCCCCTCACCTGTGAAATGGGGATAACCAGTTCCTTACTGCGAGGGCAGCACTTGCAGCCACCAGCTCCACCAGCGCAGGGGGCCCTGCTCATCATCTCCCTCCCTCTTGCGGGAAAAGTCCAGGAGTCATTAAATCAGGGAAAGGAAAAATTCTGCAACATGCAAAGGATACGTCCATCAAGCTGATGGGATAACATGACTTCTGAGCAAAGCACTTGGTACCCGGTACGCTCCTAGAGGACCGCTAATTCTGTAGGGGCAAGCCCCCACACCTCGTCCTCAGAATGCTCTCACGTGGTCGGGACTACCAGCATCCCCATTTTGTACACGGGGACATGGAGGCCCAGACAGGCTCGATAATTTGCGAGCAGCAGGGGCAGAGCCGGGGTCTAAAGGCAGGCCGTCCAAGGACAGTGCTGACACACTCCTCGCTCACTCCACTTGGAGCTGGCCTCCATCTCACCCGGACCACATCTGGGAGCCAAAGACCCTGCAGCCATCCCCTCGTCTCTCACCCCTTCTCAGCAGAGGGCTGGAGCAGAGAGCAGAGAGCAGAGACCAGTGGGCCAGGGCCCACGCTGTGCTCAACCCCAGCCTGACGACTCTCCAGGGCCCAAGCTGCCTCCTTCTTGCATCCTGAATCTCAACCCAGTCCCGGCCCTCGTTCCACCAGTGGGAAGCCTCCAGCAGCCTGTCCTCGCCCATGTCCCCATCCCCACCCTTACCCCAGTCCCTGTCCCCATCCCATCCCCATCCCTGTCCCCATCCCTGTCCCCATCCCCACCCTCACCCCAGTCCTCATCCCCATCTGTCTCCCAATCCCTACCCTCATTCCAGTCCCAGTCCTATCTGCATCCCTGCCCTTGTCCCCACCCCAGTCCCCGTCCCCACCCCAATCCCCGTCCCAGCCTCCACTGTCATCCCAGTCCCCGTCCCCACCCCAATCCCCATCCTAGTCCCCACCCTCTTCCCATCCATCCCCATCCTGGGCCAGACAAGAAGCCAGGCCCTGGGAGTCAGAGCTATGGCTCCAATGTGCACTGTCCCACAGCATCAACCTGGTACTTTTGTGGGGCGATGCCACTGGTCGAGTGACCCTCTGCCCGGCTTTTCCTCCAAAGAACCCCCCAACACCTTCTTGCAGCATCAGCCCTACCCCCCGCATCCCTGCTGGACACCCTCAGGCCCCCAGGGCCAGAGTTCACAGGCCCCTTCTCCTCTACATCTGCACCCACTGAACTCCTGACGCCCTCGCCCCCCTTGCCCCTACTTGGCATTACTCAGGCTCCCACGAATTTTCTGGAAAGCGCCAAGGAAGAACTTACCTTTGGAAAAGGCCTCATTCAGAAGCATCCTGAGCTCATGGGCACCGATCTCAGAATCCTAGAAAGAGGAACCCAAAAGCGAGTCATGCCAGATCCTGGCAAATTTCCAGGGTGTGAGGCTGATGTGGACCAGACAGCATGTGCAAGGGCCCTGGGGCATCTTTAGAAACTCTAGTTCTTAGCTTCCCTGGGCTTCCCCATGGCCTGGTGAGAATGTGGTGATGGGCGGGACCAGGAGCCACATGCCTGCTGCCCAGGGTCCTCACATCCTCAGAATCACGTGGCCTCCTTCATGGAGCAAGGACCTGTGGTTTTGTAAACTTGTGAACACCATACACATGCACGGTGAACATGTCATCCCATGTGATGTGATTCCTGCAGGTTCACAGCCGCCAAGCTAACACGGTCCTGCCGAAAACACCCGCTCCTCCCCTCGGCATCTCAGGTGGGAGCCCCCCAAACTGGGCGTGGGGGTGTTGAGGAAGATTTCTCGAGCGTGCCAGAGGGAAGGTTCGCCATTTAACCCTCAGATGGGGACAGACCTCGGGCAAGACACACGAGGTGCAGAGAAGGGCACGGGGCTGGTGTCTGGTTCCAAGTGACCGTGTGATGTCAACCGTGTCTCTTCCCCTGTGACCTGTGTTTTCATCCTTTGTACCAGTGGCCTCACCACCCGATCCCTGGCAGGCCCCCGGGAGCAACAAGGGGAGGGCTCTGCAGAGCCCCCTGGGCGCCCACATGAAGACCTCAGGACCCTCTGCACAGCATCCGGACCAAGCAAGCTGCCCCCTTGCCCGTGGGAAAGAGCCTGTGTTCAGACCTTGGCCTGGCCTTCTGGAGGCCACGTGTGGCCGTCTGCTAAACCACAGCGAGGAGCCCACAGGGCAGGGGAGGGGGGACAGGTGCCTGACGGCGGACACGGAGACAGGCTCTTTGTTCGTTGTACTTGATGTTCTCAATAAAACATGACCCTCGGCAGCCAAGGCAACAGGCTCGTTAGTGAAAACACTGGTTTGAGCATCAAATAAGACAGAAACTGACTCATTTTTGCAGGAGCTCCTTCAATAGGAAAGAACTGGGTGTGCAGTTTCATTTCCTGCAAAAGGAACCTGACATGCTTTCTTCGATTCCATTTTCCACCCCGAACTTCCCCAGAGTGGACAGTATTGTTTTTCCTCTTCTGTTAAGGACCGAACAATTGTGCCTTCAAATCCCTGTGTGGGAGCCTGAGCCCAGCGTGATGGTCTCAGGAGGGGCGTCAGCGGGAGGTGACCAGGCCCCAAGTGAGAGTGGAGCTCCCATGGTGGGATCAGTGCCCTTGCAAAGGGGCCTCAGAGCCCCCTCACCCCTCTCTGCACCAGGAGGGCACATGGGGAGGCTGTCTGCTGCCAGGAAGGGGCTCAGCCCAGAACCAGACCCCTTGCACCAGAGCTGGGATGTTCAGGCCTGCAGTTTAGAGGTCCATCCACAGTGCTCCGTGTAGCAGCCGGAGCTGAGACACGAGCCAAGGCCCTGGGGTACAACCCAGTACCCTCCAGAGAGCAGTGCACATGCTCTACTTACATGTGGCCCCCACAGGCCTGGAACTGTGATAAACCCAAGTCCTCACACAGCACGGGGCTGACAGGGGCAGGGGCACCATGTGCCCAAGCACTGCTGGCACCAGACCGCCCTGAAGCCTGCAGTTGAGGGCAGGCGAGCGGCAGCCGGCGTGAGGGAGCTGCCTTCTCCCACCTCAGAAGCGTATTGATTGAGGGATGTCTCACCACCCTGCTCCTGGATTTCCTGCTTTCTCAAGAGTCCGTCAATGCAGCAAGAGACGCAACCTTGGGACCATCGTTGTCCCCACAGTGCAGAGAGAGACCAGAGCTAAGACAGGAGGACGCCGCTCGCCCTTCGTGCCCAAGGAGATGCCAGGGGACAGAGGTTGAAGCAGCCCGAGGTCTTCGCCACCTCCTGCCCGTGGGGGAGGTTGTGGTGGCCCCACTCACCTTCCCCGCAGGCTTCCCCAGAAGGCTCCCGAGCTGGCCGTCCTCCTGGTGCACCTTGCTGGGGTGCAGCTGGCAGGAAGCACAAAGCAGAGTTAGCAGGGGATCACTGGGTCACTGGGAGAATGAGGATTTCTCGTCCATCACTCCCTGTTCCTATCGCACACACCCACCCCTGCCGGCGTTGGCTCCCTGGGGTGGGGGGCGGCCTTCCCTCTCTGATGTGGGGAGGCGATCCCACCAGCCCTGAGTTTCCAGCTTCAACCTGGAATTGCTTCAGAGAAGGACAGAACTGACAGCAGAGAATCACTGTCCTGGCCTGGGGGCCACTCCAGAGACACCCCAGAGACCCTCCGGGAGACTGTGAACCCCAGAAACCACATGAACATGCTGAGTAGTGCTGACGCGTGTTTTCTTAGTGTTCCTCAGACTCTCAAATAGCCACAGGATTTAAAGTAATTGGGTCACAGCCTAGCAGATGCAGCAGAAGTCAGAGCCAGAAGACGGAGGTTGGACACGGGAGGAGCCACGCAGCAGATTCTGCCCAGGCTCCCAGGACCCTCCCTCAGTCTGTGGTTGAATGAGGGGTCTGCTCCGTGGCGTCTCTTCCAGAAGCAAACGCCAGCTGATAGGGGTCAAAGTCCCAAAGGCCTGGTACACCACAGTGCCAGAGCATCTGTTCTGAGAGATCTCATACCTCATGTGGTTTTCCAGCCACCACATCCCCCATCTCCCTGGAGCACAAAGAAAGGAGAAAAACAAATACGGTAAATAAACAGTACAGATGATCAAGTTCTTCCAGGAAGCATTTCACTTTTCCGAAGCATTGGCTTCCCACCCAAGACCCTCAGTCACTACTGGCACCAAACCACACAGACTGAATCCTGACCCTTATCCCTCCCTTCCCTCCCAACCCCCAGCAACCCCCCTCCAACAGGGATTTGTCACCAGTCAAGAGCTGCCCCCTTCATAGAACCTGAAATGTTCGCCTTGGTGGCCACACTCTGAGGGATTCTCTCTCACCACTGGGGGACCCAGTTCTGGGAATCCCTATAGACACGGCCTCTGGACAATGAGCCAGCAAGCCCCCAGGTTGTGTGTGCAAACACGCACAGGGTGTGTGGTATGATGTGCATGTATATGTAGGTGTGCGGTGGGGGGGGTATGCATGGGTGTGGCATGTGCACGCGTGTGTGCATGGGTTTATCATGTGTGCAGAAGAAGTGGCCCCCCTCTCTGGACCCCACTCACTGGGCCCAGGGGCCGTCCCTACTGGAGGGAGACCCTCTGCCCAGCATTGAACAGTTGGAAGCAAACAGCCTGGGGTCCCACAGACCCGCGGGGGCAGGAAGGGGACACTGAGCAGAAGACCCGTGGGAACGGGGAGTTTACAGATCCTGTCTGGGACGCGGCAGCTCTGACCCAGGCCCTGAACCTTCCAGGCCACGCGTTGCCTCCCCACTTGGACCCTCAGCCCAGACAGCACCGCGGAGGGACAGGGCGTGCACAGGGCCGCGGCCTTCCGCGAGAACACCCTTAGGCAGAAGTCTCCGTCCTGTACTCCCCCGGGGGCAGACACCTCCCACGGGCTGGCATGGCCGCTGCAGCACGCAGAGGGCTGGCGGCCCAGGAAGAGGTTCTGGCCCAGGGGCGTGTCGTGCGGTTCTGAAGCTGAGCAAAGCAGAGCAGAGTCAGTGTCCCTCGGAATCATGGGCGACAATGGCTCGAGTGCAGTCTTACGCTCTGCTTTGGGGGTGGCTGATTTTTAATGCTGGGTGAAGCCCCAGGAGGCCCCGGGGTCTGCTGAGAACATGCCTGTATCTAGCGGCAGGGGTATTTGGGCACTTCTGGTGTCAGGCCCCATGTGGGGCACCTACCTCCTGATGCCGCAGCGGCGGCCCCTTTGCCCCCTCCTGGGTTAAGCAAAGGGAACTCGGAGCAGGGTCTTGGACTCTCATGGTGCTCCTCGCCGGGAATCTGCCCTCACCAACCCCCCACTATCAATCCCACAGACACTTCTCTGCGGCGGTAACCAGGCAGCCCTGAGCCCCCAGCTCCGGCTTTCCGAGGAGGAAGGATGAGCCCTGTGACCTCTGTGTTTGGTAGGGGGAGGGGCTGGTGTGTGACATGGGCTAATTAGTGACAGCAGGGTGCCCAGGCTGTCATTACAGTGATTAACCCTCCCGTGGCTTCCTCAAGCCACCTGTGTTGGAGGGCCTGTGCCAAGAAGCTGCAGGGCTGTGACTTCTGGGTGACCTGGAACACCCACCCCGGAGGGGACGGCATCCAGCCACAGTCAACAGACCCGCTTCGGATCACAGATCTGCTAAGCAGGGGAGGAAAGCGGGGCCACGTGCCCCCAGCACCCTGGGTCAGGACTCCATGGGGGGTCTCCAGTCAGCTCCTGCTGACCCGGGTCCAAGGGCAGCCTCCACACTTGGGATTCCACCTCCCCCGCCCCCCCGCCCCGCAAACTTCCATGTTCTGGGTGGGAGAATGCTAGAAGGGTGGCCAGCAGGGGCCCGGCCAAGGGCTAGGTGTTATGGAGCAACGAAACTATGGAGCCAAGAGCTACGTGTCATTCTCGCCATCCCTGAAACAGCAAGGGGGGAAATAGGGGTCCCTAGGGGCAGGTACTCATGGAGCTGAAGTAGGGAAGTGCACTCTCTCAGAGTGCGTCAGGAAAGGGGCTCTCCCAGTTACAGGGGCGGGGGTGGGGCGCAGGCACACTAGAGAGCCCTGTTTGGGGGCCCAGCATGGAACTGGAGGACACTGAGACAAGAGGGATCCCTCCATCCTTCCTTCCAGGGACACCACAAGGGCAAGGGCCCAGCAACAGTGTGGGGTTGGGCAGGGTCAAAAGCAGGTGGCCCTCAGTGTGGGTCGAGGGCTGGCCTGCGCATCCTGGAGGACATGTTAGAAGTGCCCGCCCCAGTCCCACAGCACCAGGAACTCTGGGGCTGGGCCAGCAGCTTTCACAGCAGCTTTCACAAGCCTGCGACAGCTCACGGGACCCACGGTGATGCGTGAAGGACCCCGGGAAACCCACTGTGCCTGTGTGTGACCTTCCCCTCACACGCGAAGGGGACGTTTCTGATGGGAACCACCACCCCAGACTTGACACGGATTTGGAAGATTTTCTAACCCATACTACCTCCGCGTGATCTCATAACATGTAACGTGAGTCCGGGAGCCAGCAGGCAGGTGGCCCGCAGCACCGACAGGGTCCTGAGAATGTGGGCCCCCTCGTCACATGCCACAGAGCTGGTGGAGCATGAGGACCAGCGAAGTGGGGGGTACGATGCCACGGGAAAGGCACACCCCCACGTCATTAGCACAGTCAACCCCAGAGGGGGCCCACCATGGAACCGTGGTTCCCAACCTCGGCTGCAGGCCGGAATCACCCCCGAGATTCTGCAGTGAAACATCTGGGATGCAGCCTCCATATCCAGAGGGGTGCAGGGTGCAGCCACGGAGGGGCTCCTGGGGAGACTGGCTCCCACGGGCCAGGCCTCCTCCCCTGCCCAGAGGCACTGCCTGTGGGGGCTCTCCCTTCTACCAGCCAGGGATAGGGGAGCCAGGGGAGTGTCAGCAGGAAACCCCGGATATTAAGTGTGACACGATGCTGTGTCACTGAGGAAACATGGAAAGGCCCAGAGCCAATCAGATAAAGTTGGTGCTTCGTTTTCTTATCAGAGATCAGGACATTTGTTCCTGTGGCTAGAGGACCCAGGGGCATGCCCTCCACCAGGCACATGGGGCAAAGGTCACCACTGCCCCCCGCCGGGGGGGCGCCAGTGGGGTGGGACCCAGCATCATCTCTGCCACCTGCCAGGGTCACTGGCCCACCAGAGTGTGTAGGAGAACCCGCTTCCCTCTGAGGCCGCCAAGCCACATCTTCCCAAAGGAAGGCGCCCCAGTCAGCGCTCACATACCTCTTTGGGGACCTGCGGAGCAGAAGGAAAGAGCCGTCATCCTCGACAGCGAGTCTCGCCCTCCATGCCATGCGACCCTCCCCACATCCTGCAGACAGACTGTCCTGGGTGAACTCGAGGCCGACTGAGATCACTTTACTTTGGAAGTTTGAAGGGGGAGGGGCTGGATTTTTTATTTTCTAGGCATGTGATTGGTCAGGACCCCACATGTTCAGGAGCGATGAGCTGGAGCTTGATGAGAGCTAACAGCTCCCAGACCTGCACGCCGGCACCCAGACCCAGAACGGCGAGGCCCGTGGAAAGAAATTCAGGATCCCAAGCCCCAGCGAAAAGCCTGCCTGGCCTGAGCCTGTGGTCACAGCAGGAAAATGACAGGCGACAGGGAGCGGGCAGACAGGCGGGGCTCTTCAGCCTTGGGGCATCAGGGTTGCTCCCCAATTGGTGAACTACACAGGTGTCCAGATTGCGGACACGGAGCCTTAGTAGTAAGTTATAAGGGTCACAGAACAGTGCCCCTGCAACCCCACGTGCTCCTTACAGCCCCAGGTGCCCCCCTACGACTAGGTGCTTCCTACAACCCCAGGTGCCCCCTATGGCCCCAGAAGCTCCCTGTGACCCCACATGTCTGTCCCCTATGACCCCAGGGCCCATATGATCCCAGGTTTTCCCTATGACCCCACATGCCCCCTACAACCCCAGGTGCTTCCTACAACCCAGGTGCCCCCTATGACCCCAGATGCCCCCTACAGCCCCAGATGTCCCCTATGACCCCAGGTGCCCCCTTATGACCATGTGTTTCCTGCAACCCCAGGTGCCTCCTATGACGCCAGGTGCTCCCTATGACCCCAGGTGTCCCCTACAACGCCAGCTGCCTCTATGGCCCCAGGTGACTTCCCCTATGACCAGGAGTTTCCTACAACCTAGGTGCTCCCTACAACTCCAATTGCCCCCTATGACCCCAGGTTCTCCCTACAACCCCAGGTACTCCGTATGACCCCAGGTGCCCCCTATGACCCCAGATGCCCCCTTACAAATAGGTGTTTCCTACAACCCCATGTGCTCCCTATGACCCCAGGTGCCCCCTACAGCCCCAGGTGCCCCACATGATTCCAGGTGGACGCTCTTGAATGCATGCAGGGTGCCTTCCCGGGGTTCATCCCTGTGAGCAGGATCTGGTCTGGGGACATCAGGCTCTAGGTGGGGTAGAAGTGCCAAGCTGGGAGAGAAGTGAGCGTATTTATTTGAAATTCTTTCTGCCACCATCAAGCCAGGATTAGGTTTCAACATGCCTTCTTCCACCATGAGAGACGCACGTACCACATCCTGAACTCTAAAACTGTAAATTCCAAGGTGGAGGGAAGAAAGGGGCCGCAGGGGGTACGAGCTTGGCAACTGGCTTCTTATCACAACACTTCTTCATCATGCATTAATGTATACGGAGGTGTTGGGCCTCCAGCTGGTTCTTGTTCTTCCTGATTAAAATTGTATCTTTCTGAACCTACATGTCCATCAACAGATGAATGGATAAAGAAGATGTGGTATATATACACAATGGAATACTATGCAGCCATCAAAAGAAATGAAATCTTGCCATTTGCAACGACGTGGATGGAACTAGAGGGTATCATGCTTAGCGAAATAAGTCAATCGGAGAAAGACAACTATCATATGATCTCCTTGATATGAGGGAGAGGAGATGCAACATGGGGGGTTAAGGGGGTAGGAGAAGAGTAAATGAAACAAGATGGGATTGGGAGGGAGACAAACCATAAGTGACTCTTAATCTCACAAAACAAACTGAGGGTTGATGGGGGGGGGGGGTGGGGGGGGGGGTTGAGGTTATGGACATTGGGGAGGGTATGTGCTATGGTGAGTGCTGTGAAGTGTGTAAACCTGGCGATTCACAGACCTGTACCCCTGGGGATAAAAATATATGTTTATAAAAAATAAAATTAAAAAAATAAATTAAAAAAAAATATATATATATAAAATTTGTATCTTTCTCAAGAAATGCATTCTTCACAAAATTACCTAACGACAGCCACCATGAATCCCTCCGGAATTTGTTACAAGGAGTCTTTGGCAGTATAAAAAGTAGATTGTGATTTGTTCCTGGCTGGGCTTGTCGAGCCCCAAAGGCCTTGCTTCAACACATCTGTGAGGTGCACTGCAGCCTGGACAGGGCCGTGGTCCCCAAGCCAGAGGCACCCGGACCGAAGGTGGCTGTGTGGCTCCCTCACCCCAGCCATGCCTGCCTGTCTCAAGGTCGCCCAGCTTGGGAGGAAAGGAGAGTCTACAGCCTCCCATCTCCAGCCTCCCTTCCACTTTCAAATGCCTTGTGCCCCCCCCCCCCCGCCTTTCTTGGCTCCTGTCCCCTGAGAAGCCTAGACTTGGGAAGTCTAAAGACTGCAGTAACCTGAGCCCTTGATGACAGGCAGAGTTCAAGGAATTTCACGTCTGAATATTAAGAGCAGAAATGTGAGCCCTAGGAATGATTATCTAATACTGGAATTCAGATCTCCGGAAGGCCAATGGGAGAGGCATTCTGGGGGGCAAGAAGAGTGCTTGATGAGGACCATTCAAATGACAGGAAAGATGCACCCTGATTCCTGGCCAACAGTGTCCAACCAAAGACATCCAATGTGCAATAAAGAATGACCCAGCTCCAAGTACCTTGTAGACAGCGTAGCGGATGCTGAGCGTGCCCTGTCCTATCCTCTTCCGGCACCGACAATTCTTCTGCATCAGACCCAGCAGCACCATGCAGTGGGGTGCGTCGATGCCCCCCTCCTGGCTGTCATCCACCTAGGCCAGATGGATTCCGAACTGGGGATTGGTCCAATAAGTGGCTGGAGGTCTCTGGGAGGTCGCTGGGGGGTGGTTTCCCCCTTGGGGGGGGGTGAGGAGGTGGGAAAGAACACAAGGGAAGAGCTTTGGTCACCCCAGAGAGGGCGCAGCTGGCAGTAAGTGGGCCTGGGCAAGTTTTCCTCACAGCATGGCGAGCACGCCCTCCTTCCCTTCCCCCCTCCCCTCCCACACACTGGCAGACGCATCCCGAGGCATCCGGAAACTTTGCACGGCGCCATCTGACTGGGAATACTCGGGGTCTGATGGCCCAGGGCTGCCCTGGGATGCTCACGAGTGACCCCCAAGTCTTCCAGTTCTAAGCTCCTGGCCCATGAAGATGAGCCCCTCTCAGGAAGGAATATCTCGAGGTGTGGGGGGAGTCACGTCCCAGGAGGCCTCTGCTCACAGGCTCTGGAGACAACTGGTCTAGTGGGCATCTGTCCCCTCCAGCTGTGGGGGCTGACCCTCTGCCCCTCAGCCAGATGGCTGAAGCATTGAAACACCATCCCTCCCTGGTAAGTCACTGAATATGCATGAGAGATAATTAAAAAGAACACAAGCCACACCACCAATGGGTACTCTAAAAGATGGCTTCCCTTCAAAGAGAACTTTTTAAAACCCTTTCAAAACAGCGACTACACATTCTGAGGCACAGAGAGGTCCAGCGGGTCATGGGAGGGCACACGGTCGGGCGGCAGTGTGTAAATGAAGAAGACGGGCCTCAGTGGTTTTGAATACTGATGTGCCCCAGGGGAGGACAGCCTGTGGGGGTGGTCCTCACATCCCCTAAATGAGGGACCAACTCGATGAGATAACAAGGCATGCACAGGAGACCAAGAACCACGGACTTAACCAGAACGTTTTCTATTCAATCCCACCTCTCCACCAGAACCTTCACGTCCAGACTGTCTGTCTGGGGCACAAGGGCGGACTGCAAGGTCAAGTCCCTGCAGCTTCCCAGGTGGACGTGCAGAACATCATTATGAAAGGGCAGGCACAGTCGGTCCCTTCCAGACAGCTAGGTGACTAGGTGACTGTGCCGATGGGGTTGAGATGGTGATTCGGGGCGGATACCTCAGGGGCGCCCCCGATGGCTCCGCGCTGCCAAAGCAATCCGGGCCCATTTCCTACCCGTTTTCTAAGCGCTCGCTAATGGCGAACATATTTTAATTTCTTCCAAATGCAACGTCATGGCAATTCCTACATTTTTTTGTTTACTCCTTAACAGAACTGGAGGAAGAGAATGAGCTACAAAAATAATGCCCTACACTTCTAGAACACCACGGGTTTACACAGCGTCTTGCACGGTGGGCGTTAACCCTGCATCCTGCCAACCAAGCAACAGAGCGCCGCAGAGGGAAACGAGCCTCCCAGGGCCCTGCAGCTGGTGGACCAAGCTGCTCCAGGTGCGGCGCTCTGGGCTGGACGGGGGCGGGGTGGGGAGTGAAGAAGAAACACACGGTGGTCGGGACCCAGCCTGCACGAACCTGGGATTTTATTATGACTCAGAGCGCAGCCCTGCAATGATCAGCGTCAGAGCCCGGAGGGGGAGGCTGGGTGGGCTGGGGGGCTGGGGGGCAGAGGGAGCAGGCTTTGCTTTCCTTCATTTCTCCTTCGGGAGGTGGGTCGGTTTTTCAGCATCTTCTTCCGGCTGCCTTGGCTGACTCAACCCGAGAGGAGCCTATGTCGGATGCGTCAGTGATGTCCAGGGAACCGGGGAGGGCTCCCACCCACAGTGAGACGAGGGCCCCCCAGTTAGGGCAGAGGGAGGGGTTGCCAGATATCCTCCTGGGGTGGAGCTCCAGTGACTCCCATAGGAGGAAGGAGTGGCCATCCCGGACCCCCAAGCTCAGGCCACTCTACCCCACCCTCCAGGTTCAGCTAGGGCACACGGACTTAGCATGGCGCGATCTACTGGAGCAACACAGGGTCCATGCATCTCAGGGGGATGCGTGTCCAGCAGGGACTGGGAGAAGAGTGAGAAAGGAGCACGGTGAGCATGAGGCGTCCTTGGGGGGCTGGGGCAGGTGGGGGAAACGTGGAAGCTACAGAACCCTGTTGGCTGAGCTCCGGCCTCAGCTGGGGGCTGCAGAGCCATTGTCCACCCTGCCGTCCTGGCCTCCAAGCCCAGGGAGAAGCTGGGCCCCTGCAAGTCACCAGGAGCCAGTGAACAGGCCGAGGCATTGCGCAGCCCAGGGAGGACAGGCCAAAAGGACTTGGGGCCCCGCAGCCCTCCATCCACCTCACCTGGGAAGTTGGTGTGGCCCTCAGGGGTAGAGCCCCGCATCAGCGGCCATTGAACAGGACCAGGTCCCATTTGTGCAGCTCCTCGCTACTCAGGGAGGCTGGGGAGAAGTTGCAGATCTCCAGCCGGGAGAACTGCTCCAGGAAATCCAAAAATGACATCCTGGGGACAGAAGGATCAGAGGGCTCTGGGTTCACGGGGCAGGTTCCATGACAGAGCAAGGGACCAGCTCTGACCCTGTCATGTCTATGGGGCCACTGTCCAAGTCCCTGGCTACCGTTGGCATCTCTGTTTTATTAGAGAGTGCCCCTCGCACGTCTAACGACCAGGCAGAGGGACAGAACAGTAAATGGGCCCCTGCCACCGGGGCCAGGCACCTTGGAATCTGCAGAGACTTAAGTCCTCCAATTTAAGTCTGCCCAGCAGAGATGTCCTTAAACCATGTCATGTTCAAGGGACGTCCCTGTCATCTGTCCTAGCTCACCCACAAAGGAAGTCACCCTGTCACGTGGCTAAGCCCAACTTGGTGAGATGGGATTGGTGCTCTGCCTCGTGGGGGGGGGGCGGGGCAGCAGGGACAGGGACACATGCAGTCCCTGAGGTCGGACAACCTAAGGGTAAAGAGGGAGAAGAAGGACACCCCCAGCAGAAGCCACATGGGCTTCCTGAAACCCTGGTTGCCGGGGGAGTGAAGCCGCTGGGAAGGACAACTTCCTGCAGACCACGCTCACCAGAACTCGCCATCCTCCACTTTCTTATCCAGCTCTGCCTTCTGCCTGGGGTCTATGTCATTCCACTCTGGGGCACTGGAAGAAATCGTAAAATTCAAATCTTTAAAAAAGAGAAGCAAAGGTGGTCATTTGTGAAAGGTTCACTGCAGCACACAGTTTCCTGAAGCTAGACAGCCCCCGGAGGGCCGAGATGGTTATGAGCCAGACCCTAGCAGGTGGGCAGTGGTGGGGAAGGGGGACACATGTCCCGGGAGGGATGCGGACCGACGACATGGACCGCAGTCATGCAGCTGGGACATTGCCTTAATTTCACTGCCAGGGAACCTTCATTTCTAGCTGAAACTCCCACACTCCGTGACAGGGCTGCAGGTCCAAGAGAAGAGGGATGAGGGTGCCTGTCAGGCATACACCCCTGGTCCATGGGCTGGTTGTCATTCTGGCTCATCCCTCAGGTGAGGACCCTCGGGGAGTTGGACCCTCTCTGGGCATAGGTGGACCATCCGTTTCCTGAGCCACTAGCGACAGCCATCAGGCCCAGTCGGGCAGCAATTTTCCTGAAGTCATGTCACCCGTGAGGCCTCCTGTTATGGCCTTTCCGTGGCGATGGCCATATATGTCATAGACGTATATTCAAATGACGTCTCCGGCCTCCTGCCTGACCTTTACCAAGCTCAGTCTCCTGAAATACGTGTGCAGCGTCTAGGAACCGAATGGTATAAAAATGTCCCTTCCCTGGATGCCTTCAGCAAACCACGAGCCCTGCCTTCCCCCAGGAAAGTCCAGCCACACAGGACCACAGGGATCATACAGGAGGGAACCCAGGACCCCTTCAGCTCAGGGAAACTTTCACCCATCAGACCCAAATCTCAGAATGTGCTTATTGTAAACAAAGAGTAGGGACAACTTAGAGAATTCTGGATCTGAATCAAATCTCCCAATTGGGTTTTGAGCCTAAGAAAAATTTAGATTGTTTAAGTTAACTGGACATTGGGCTGACTTAGAGCTGTGGCTCACAGACCCAGCATCCTCCTGCCCCACCGGCTGCTACAAAAATGGTCCCAGCTGTGTCTCCAGCTGCTGGAGTTCCGCCCTCGCCCACCGACACTACCCCCCTCGCACCTGCCCCAGCCTCTCAGAGACTGGGCGGCGGGGGGGGTGTCAGGGAAGGAGATGGGGTCACAGAAGCCCTCTGGGCAGCTTGCTAAAGAGCTGTCAGCTGATATGGCCAAAAGTCAGAGCGTTGATTTCGTTCAGCTGGGGCGCCCTTCCCGGGCAGTTGGCAGAAAGGAGGTTTCGGGTTTTGCTCCAATGTGGGTAGCGGAATCAGCGTCTATTGCCCTCGGGACCTACCTCTCTCTGTGGCACACACCTGAAGGGAAGTGTGCGGTGATGGGCCATGTCCTGCCATTTTGGCGGGCAAGGGCGGGCAGCACAGGGCTGCTCCTGAGCGCTTAGGGACCCCCCATTTCCCAGGTGCTTCCTCAGTGGCAGGAGGCCTGGGTGAGGGGAGCCTGCCTGGTCCCCCGTGACCTTGTCAGGAAAGAGCGAGCAGCCCTCCCAGATGCCCGCCGCTGCCTGCCACCAGCTGGCCCCTAGGGCCGGATCCTGCTTCCTCAACTGGGCACTGGGGGCTTGGCATTTGTCTGAGAGACATCTGAGAGACGGTCTGCAGTGGGAGGCGCCGGATCTCACAGGTCCAGCCTTCCCTTGCAATCACCACTGTGTGGCAGGTGGGAAACAGGAAAACATTCTAGAGACAGAGCTGCCAAGCCTGCAAAGGCCAAGCAGAGACCCAGAGGCAGACTCCAGCTGCGTGCAGCGTGCTTTGCTGAGCAGGAGCCCAGTTCTCCTTCCCGACCCGGCTGCTGGGCTCCGAAAATGCGGCCGTGCTCACGGGGCCCCAGGTCTCATAAGCACTGTGTTTTGTGAGCCGCCTTTCCACAGCACGGGGTGAGGATGGGGACCAAGAACCTACTCGTCACTCCAAGCCCCTGTCCATTCCACTTCGCCCCATGGGTTCCGGAGTCTGATCAGCTTCTCGGGACGACCCCGGAAATCCACCTGCAAGGTCCACATGGGGAAGCATCTGAGCTGCTGGGCTCCCCTGCCCAGCACCCCCGCATCCACACCCCCCCACCACGCCCTCGTGACTGCCTCTCGCATCTGCCCCACACCCCTGCGCCTACCCCCCACTGCATCCCCCACGTCCACCCCTTACTCCCCGCGTCCACACCCTGCCCCAGGCCCCCACACCTTCCTCCCACCCCCGCGTCTGTCCCACGCCCACCCCCCCTCCGCGCCCCATGTCCACCCCCAGCCCCAGGCCCCAGCACCTGCCTCATGCCCCCACATCTGCCCCCGTCCCTGCGTCCTCCCCACAGCCTGCGACCCCATGTCTACCACCACCCCCCCGTCTGCTCCCTGAGGACTTACACTTTCCAAATGTCCCCAAAGAGCCACACCCTTGTTTTAATGCATGTTTTTCAGACGTGGCCAACTGCTCTGTTTTCCACAATTTGGTTTGTTTTCCACAAACCATGTGTCTGGCTCACAAACAAGTTCGTGTCTGCTTTAACATGCACTTAAATTTTGTAGTTGACTAAGACTCACTGAGCTCTTAACCCATCAGATGAAATGACAATAATCACACAGAGCAGGGTGGCCAGCGTTTGGGGACCCCCCCTCTGGAGGAAGCACACATGGGGCCAAACTCTGCAAACACACCATCACCGCCCTGAAGCCCTGTGGCCGTCCCAGGAGCTCAGTGCCATGGCTACCTTTCTGGGACAGCTCAGGAATTCTAGACGCAGAGGGCACAGGTCACCTGAGGTCAGGATGTGGTGGAGGGGGTATGGGCACCCAGACAGCGTGTCTGCAAACACACCTGGAAGCTCACACTTACTGCCTTCCCTAGCCACTTGCTGAACACTCACTAGAGCCCCCATGTTCACATTCCGCGCACACACACTCACACAAAGGATGTCAGGTGTTGGGTGTCCTACTCCCCTCCGTGTACTCCGTCATGCCCTCGCCCACGCTTACACACGTGTGTTCAGTCTCTGCTTGGGAAATGACTTTACAGAAGAGCGCGTTTGTGAATTACAACACCCGTGCGGTTTTTATACACAACAAAAACTGAGATCCCGTCTCATTTCCCTTTTTGCTTGGCTGTCAGGAAGCCCAGAGCAAAGCTCATTTTTCAAGGGCAGCCCTGTCTCTCGCCTGCATTGTCTGGTGGATTTCAGCTTCGTGTTTTGATTGTGTCTGCACACGTCACTGCAAGTCACTGCAAACGCTTTTTCCAAGTGGGCAGAATATAGTAAATAAACGTCGTGAAAACCACAGCGCATGCTTTCTGCTTGGGTTGGAGAGGAAGGAGCAGCACCGCTCTTTCCCCATTGGGTCTCATCCTGGGGGAGCCGACATCACTGCCTTTATCCCCTTTGGGGTCCTATGGGTTTCTACCTGTGCACACGCACCTCTTAACCCACATATAAAATCTAACGAACAATCTCTACAACCTCTTCCAAAACCGTCCTCCCACCCCAAGCCCGTCTCATCTGCATGTCGCTGGAGCCCAGGGAGCTAGGGCACAGACAGGCCGCGGGATCTGTCTCCCGGCGGGGAAGAGTCCAAAGGGCCCATGAGCAAGAGGGACCCATGCGCGGGTGGCGTCCTGGGCAGCCAGGGAGGGACCTCGGCGGACGGGAGGCTCTCTGTGGTGACCTGGATGCGTGCAGTATCACAACCTGCTACCCTCCCCTCCCCGCCAGCTTTTACCTCTTGGACCCCAGTGATGGAGTAGGCGTGGCTCTTCACCAGTTTCTGGCAGGTGGTGGCCTCCGCTCCTGCTTCAGCTGCACTGGAGACCTGGTTGGGGATGAAGTCCACAGAGGATGGCCCTGACCCTGACCCTGACTCTGACCCCTTCGGGGCTGGCCACTGGGGGACACTGGGGTGCAGGTGCAATGGTGACCTTGGTGACCTCTGAACAGGCCTGCAGCTCCAGGCAGGCGCTATGTGGCTCGGGGGCCAGAGCATGACTTACAGGATTTAAATGCCACCAGACGCCGGGGCGTCACCTCAGGTCCCCGAATGCCCCCCTGTCGCTTGAAGAAGGCCAGTTATCTAGGATGGCCGCTCTGGGCCAGACTGCTTCTCCCGTGTCTCCCCCTTCCTCATCCGCAGGCCCCCTCTCTAGGCCCCACATCGTCTCCCCACCAGGCAAACCCTCGAACTGAGATTTGGCAGAGACGTGCTGTTTACGTGCCCAAGGCCACCAGGTCAGGGACAGGCAGGGGCAGGGACAACACACCAGCTCCAGTGTCCATGCCGCCCCGGGGCCCAGACCACCAGCATGCACCCTGGCTCCAGATCCGCTCCCCTTCTTCTCAGGGATCTCCAACTCCATCGGGTACCCCCCCACACCCACCATGTATCTGTTTCCTAAAGCTTCACGAATGCTGAGCAGGGAAGGAGCAGCAAAGGTGGGATGCGGGATCCAGGGGTCAGGTCTCTGTTCTCAGGCCATTCCCTAGCACTGCAGACTGCGACTCCCACGATGTACCCACTTCCTACCCACTAATAAGGTCTGGGACCCCTCTGTCCCCAGATGCTGCTCTGGCCCCTTCCCTGCCATGCAGTGGGGAGCAGGGAGACTCACGTCAATGGAGCAGGCCAGCAGGGACCCCGCGCGGAGGGCCTTCCGGATGATCTGAAACAGGCGGGCTGGGGGTTTCTTCAGGTCATAAAACTCAGAAATGCCTCCAGTGAGATCCTCAAAGCCCTCCACCGTGGACCCTCCAGTGAGAGCCTCATAGGAACCGTTGAGCCTGCAGGGAAAGAAAGAAAATGTGTGTCATCTGCACAGGAGGGGCCCACATGGGCTGGTGCTAGGATGTGGAGTGGGCTGGAAGATAAGAGAGGGCCCTTTGCCAGTTTTGCTTTGGGCTGACAGGGAGCTCTGGCTACCTCCCACAAAGCCACCCCCCTCCCCACCTCCAAGTCCTGCAGGGCCAAGTGCAGCCTTCCCAGCACGGACCCTGGGTTCCTGGGTTCCTGGGGGTTGGAACCCTGGGCAGCCGTGGGTAGAGAGTGCCCCAGGGGCTCGCTTCAGGAAGAGGACTAGAAAGGTATGGGGTTGCAAGACAGGGTAGGAGACATGCATCAGGAGAACCCACAAAGAAGGCTTCCTGCATGGAACTCCAGCAGAAAGGGGGTGGTGAGAGCTGGACGGGGCCTCAGCATCGAAGTGCATCTGTTCCTTCCTCGTCATGGTTCTTTGAAAAACTCACCTTAACCTAGGAACTGACTTTGGGGTTTGAAGGAAGAGAATGGGGAGGCACCAAGAACCTATAGGGCTGACCCCCCACCTTGATCCACACCCTCATGGGGGCAGGGCTAAGCCGAGAGCTCCTGGCCCCAGTGTCCAGGTGCTGGGGGAACTCGGCCAGGCACCCCGGGTTCAGGGTGGGGCAGGTGCCGTCCTCGGGGACACAGGGGTCTCCCGGCCCTGTACCGCTTACTCACTTGGCGTAGGCCTTCTCCAGCAGTGCTCCCCAGAACTCGCTGCCCGTCTCTGAGTGCAGGAAGAGCAGCTCCCCATCCTTGGTGGGCAGCCTGTCATCCACGACCACTTCCACCCACTCGCCGTACTGCCAGAACTGGGGGGCAGGGGACATGGGGCGGAGGCCCCTCAGATAGCACCCCATGTGGAGGGCCGAGCTCCAAGCACCCCCAAGAGCAGGATCTGTGTCTTCCGTCCACACCCACCGGAGAGGCCAGAGAACACAGGACACGTGGCACCCAGCGTGTGAGTGATAAGCAAAGGCGCCCACGTGGGGGGTCTCTGGTTTGGGGATGTGGGGAGGGACCCAAGCCCACGGGAAGGATTCCCAAACAACACGGTCAGAGCAACAAGGGCTGGCTGACACATAGAGTACCTTCCTGAACCATGGGTGTCCTCTTCCTTACAGTTTTCTTAACGTTTTCTTTTCTCTGACTTGCTCTATGCTAAGAACACAGCGTATAACACGCTTGAGCTATGAAACATGCTTGACTCCACGGTTTATATCCTCGGGAAGGCTTCAGGTCAGCAGCTGGCCGTCAGGGGTGAAGATTTGAGGGAGTCCAAAGAGACACCAGATTTTTGGCTGTATCCTGACCCCCACGTAGCTGCAGGGTCACCACAGGCCCCAGCACAGTACCTGAAAATGGAAGATCCCCGCGTAGTTCTGCTGGAAATCCTGGCCCCCGGGGACCACGCGGCGAAGCAGCCCTTCATTCAAGGTTAGGGAGGCAAGGGCGGCCAGCAGCCAGCAGTCACCTGCACCCAGTCACAGGGACACACCAGTCAGGCCTGCCGCACGTCCCTGCCCAGTCTGACATTTAGCACCCTGAGTCACCTCGCCCCCTTCCGGGTCAGATGCCCCATCATCCTCCCGTGTCTGAAGGTCATGGGTGGCTCCTGCTGCGTCACTCAAAGTCCCATCCTCGGGATGGGATGTTCTCTGCCCGCCCCTATATCCCAGGACCCTGACCATTCCACCCCTAAGCACCAATGGTTGGGGTGGAGAACGCAAAGAAAGAAGACAGTGCGGATCCCACTCATGTCTCCAGCTTTCGTCCCTTCGCTCCCACCAAGAACCTACCCTCCAGGCAAACTCTGATGCCCTGGCCTTTCCCCTTGGGCAGTGGTTTCTTTGTTCCCTCCCCCAGCAACACCTCACGGCTCAGCCACCTGCCCCTTCTCTCCAGCCACGAGTCACTCTGTCTCTTTGTGTTCCCTTAAGACTGGACAGTACCTAAGCTCTGTGCACCGGGTCACAGCACCCACCCGAGCAGCAGCTACTGGGTAGCACTTTGGCGGCCTCCCAGGGTGACCTCCCGGGGTCCTCCAGCCAGCAGGGATGTGGACTCCTGGGCTGGCACCCCCAGCAGGAGGCTGACACATAGTGGGGCCCGGCTTGAGGAACAGCAAGTGTCCGAATGACTCTATGGATTTGTCTGGAACAAATGCCCAGTGGCCCCTGTGTGTTTCCTCCTGAGTCTCCCGGTCTGTGGGAATGGGGAGCCCAAGAGGACATGCACTGGGCATGACAGCTCCCATGTCCGCCAACATATGCAGCAGGAGAGATGACGAGTGAAGTTTCCCAGCACAGGCCCCGGAGGGATCTGACAGAGTGACCACTCTGCAGCCCCTCCAACATCCACCCCACAAGACACACGCATCCTCGCAGCCCCTCTGACGTTCTCACTCCCAGCTGAGCTGTCTCCATCCACCCACCCAGAACACTCCTCACACATTACAATTCAAGGCACGGAAACTCCGCGTCCCTTAGTTGCTGACATCAAACAGGGCTGCCCAGCTGGAGAGCTTAATTTTCTTTTCATCTGCCTCACTCAGGACATTGCACAGGTCCTCCTGGCACTCGGGCAAGCGCAGGGCTCCAAGGGGGGTGTTTGGATTCTTGCCAGGGACTGTCAGGCGTGAGTGGACTGTCGGTTCAGGAACACATCCAAATCAGCACATGCCCCTTCAAAGTCCTCTTGGGGGGATGGACTTCTATTCTGCTGCTCAGAACATTTCAGGAACTTGTTTGGGGACCTGCCTTGAAGCCTGTGGCACGATCGTTGGGTTCTTCTCCATAGGGACATGGCTTTGACCTTGGACCATAGTTTTAATTGCCAGAAGCAGCCAAGAGGTGTTTGGATACAAGAGGCTTTTGGTGGCGAGTAAAGTGGGTGGAAAACCTGGGAAATACCTTGATGGACGAGTCCCTCCTCGCCAGCCACCTTCCAGTCAGATCTGGCTGTGGGTTAGAGTTTGGACTAACCATAGAGCTAGAATAGGGGGTCCTGGGTCACTGACCTCTGGGAAAGTCAGGGAACTACCTAAGATTTGTTCTTCCTACGTTTTATTCGGGTAATACAAGTAATGGGTTTAATAGTTATTAAAACAATAAAGTGATTTTTTTAAATTACACTTAAATAATGACCCCCTAGAACCTCCCACCCCCTCTACCTTAAGGCCTCAGGACTTCCAGTAAACAGCAAACAGACCCGAGCCCTAACAATGAGGGGCTCTGGTTTTAAGTCCACCAAGAGACAGTCATCCTGAGTTAGGCTTTGTTACAACAGAAAGTGCTAAATCAGAAATTCCCTTTAGGTCTGAACACCTAGTGTTATTATAAATCATAGGTAGCAAGAACTCAGGGTCCAGCTTATTGGGCACTTCCTAATTGCCAAGGGGAGAAGTAGAGCTGCCCCTGGGCCATTGGCTGAAGGACAGGCGAGGGAAGCAGGGACAGGGATGAGGTCAAGTGCTGGGATCTCTGCAGTAGCCCCTTCATGAGGCTGATCAGTGACAGGAGCAGGAATAACACTAAAGCCACTACTAGGTTGAAGATGAAGCCAAAGCGGAAGCATTCATGGGGGCTGTGGGGGTGGCACAGAGCCTGGAGGCAGAAAGGAGGGGAGACGGCAGCCTCAGGGACATCTGCATCCACTGATGGCAAGGAGATCCAGGCAGGTTGGTCCCTCCCCAGAGTGGTGGTGGCTGCAGGGTTGGGCCTGGGAGCCCCCTAGGGGAGAACAGGCCTGACCCTGCACAGTTGCACCCCCTAGGGCCACCCAGGATCCCAAGGACAGCTCTGGCATAAGTACCAGCCAGCCCTGGAGGCTGTGATTTATAAAAAGAAACGCAGGCTGGGTCTTAGATCTGCTTCTGGGCTCAGAGCTCCAGAGAGGCTAGGCAGTTCTCTTCTGCACGGTGGGAGAAAGCACAGTTCTTTTGTTATGTTAACAAGTGGCTTAGGAAAGCCCCTAGGTGACCCAAATGGTTGCCAGGAGAACCAACCCCAGTGAGTGGGTTGGACATTTAAGAGCCACCCCATCCCCTGACCCTGGGACCCATCAGCAGTGGTGATTCCTGATTCCATCAGGTCTCTGTCATGAAGCCTTCAGAAATACCCAGAGGCCGGGGCTCACAGTGCTCCTTGGCGCACACATGCAGGTTTGGGCAATCAGCGCCCCTTCCCCAGACCTCATCCCATGCCTCTCCTCCATCTGGCTGTGCCTGAGCCGGATCTCTGATAGGAACCCGTGCTCTGGGGAGTGAGATGTTTCCCAGGGACGGGTTGTGAGGTCCTCCATCTGCAGCTGATGGGTCAGAAGCACAGGGGGGTGCGGGGGAGGACAACGGGAACAGGAGCCTACGGTCTGAGATATGGGGGGACAGTCTCGTGAGACTGAGCCCTTAGCCTGTGGGTCTCACACTCTCTCCGGGCAGACAGCACCTCATAACTGAGTGGGATAACATGACAACCGTGGGAATCACCCAGGGGATCTCTGGCCTTCCTCATGTCTGGGCACCATCTTGGGGAGGCTGGAGACGGGTTGGCCTTTAAGAAGTAAGAAACCACCCAAAAAGTGTGTTTCCAATGAGAAACACTGATCCAAAAGAAAGGGGAACCTTTCGGAGACAGGTCGCCGTCATCCAGAGACAGACTGCAGGCAGGGAACTGTCCAGGGGAGCAAGCAACACTGTGCCACCACACGTCCAGCCCTGACACGGATGCTGACCTGCTCATATGGGCTTGTTTGTCAAAATCCACCTTCGGTGTGCCATGGGGTTCACAGGCCAGCGTGATTCAGCTCTGACGCCTGCACCAAGCCATCTCAGGGTGACCACCAGGCCTCCCACAGGCCCTCCGAGCCCCATAGCTATACCACTCTTCCTTCCCTCTAAACCATGCCACCACCAGCCCTCATCCCTGCCTGCACCCCTGCAGAGGCAAAGCTGGACACTTCTGACCTGGGAGACAGCAGCTGGACTGGGTTCTCAGGGCCCCACTCTACAGTCCTGGCCTCCTCTGTGGCCAGCCTCCATCCCACGGATGCCCCTCAGCCCTCTGCCCAGGTTCCCCCCAGGGAACAATGCACCTAACCCTACGCCATCGCAGAGACCTGAGCTTTCCTCGCATCTACGGAGGCCATGCTGTTGGGGTGAGCTGTGGGTCCCCCAAGGAGACGGAGCAAGGAGAGGCTGGGACCAGCACGGTGCCCCTCCTCAGCCCCAGCCCTGCGGACCCAGGGGGCTTCTGTTTGGCCCATGTTTCCCGAAACACATCCACTTAGCTCCTGGTATGGAGCCAAAGCCACGCTGTCCTCCGGCAGAGGCCGAGCCCCACAACAAGAGGGCACAGGCCCCATTCTCCACACAGCTGTTGGGAGCAATCGAATCTTCAGCATCGCAGATTTCCCAGGCTATATGCACCTAAAATCACATCTCCAAAGAAAGCCAGGCCCTGGGCTCTGGCCAAACACTACCTCTGATGGTTGCTAAGGGGCTCCCACCTCTGGGAGGATGGCCTGGCTGAGCAGGAGGGAGCCAGACACCCACCAGGACCACTGCTGCCACGCGATGACCAGCGCCCCCACGCAACAGGACAGCATTTGCCACGACACTTGTCGTTGACAGCAGAAGAGACAGAGCTCTGTGGCCGCCTCAGCCGACAGGACAAGGAGCAGTTCAGACACACCGGGCAGTGGGCATCTGGGATGGGAGGCAGGAAGCGGACTTGTCGCAGCACAGCTTCCCAGTGTCTAAGGTCATGAATTCAAAACAGTAGTAAAATAACAGCAAGCAAGAGTAATGCACATGTTCTAACCCCGGAGGAGACCCCACTGTGTGGTGTCAGACGCAAGGGCTCTGAACACACGTTGTTGGCAGTGCATCCTGTCTCCCCAAGGGGCACCCGGCACTGCTCTCTGATGGGGAACCCTCACCTCACCCACCACGCAGGGCAGCCTGGCTGACTCACGGCACTGTGACTCGGCACCCCCGGCACCCCCACACCCGGGAGCAGCCACATTTCCACTGCCCGAGCCTCGCTCCCGGCCACAGGCCCTCAGCCCCCTTCTGCTCCATTCATGCAAAAAGCCAGCACGCGGCAGGGCTGACCCTGGGGCTCCTGCTGGTGGCCCCACTTCCTTCCCACAGGTTGAATTCTAGAGCAGTTGAGTCCCTTTGTGCCCGGCCAGCCGCCTGCACTCACCATGGCAACACCCAGGCTCCTCGGAAGCCCTCTTTCCTCCTTGCTCAAAACCATTCAAACCTCTACGCAAGCTGGCAATTAAAAAGCACTTATTCAATAGCTTTTCCGAAGTTAAAACATCTGTAGCGAGAAGCTGTTAAAAGCGTACATTCGGAGCTGTGTTTCCCTGAGACACATGCTAATTAGGTTAAACACTGAGCTCAAAGTAAAAAGGCAGAACGAGGAGGGCCAGGATGCTGTGCCCTGACCCCACCCCACCCCAGCCCAGCCCCCCCACACTGTGAGCCCCACACAAACGACTCAAATGGCGCAAGGGCTTGGGACACAGAGGCCGTGGCTCTGGGCAGTGGGAGCATGACCGTGTGGGGTGCCCGGAACATTCCCACAGCTCTGCACTCACGCTCTGCGAGCTCGGTCAAGGGGGTATTTGCGAGCGATGCTCGTCAAGGCCAGAACGTGGGAAGCACTTGAAATAAAATGCCTGTGAATTTCGGATTCATAAAGGCTTCCAGCAGGTGGAAGAGAACGAGTTTTCTCGGCTGGAATGAGGAGGAAAAGGAAGGAGGGCACCCTTGTGAGAGGACAGGGTTTTCAGATCCGCATGGACACTGAACTTCTGTTTGCTTTGTTTGTTGATCTTCATGGGTAGGATTGTTTTCCGGTGCCTGAGTCTCTGGGCCTAGTCCTGCCACCATCCTGGGCTCCCAAAAGGGAGCTCAGCTGGGAAGACGGGATTCTCGTTTTCTCACTCATTTTAAAGCATCTGCTGGGCCAGCCCACAGTTGTGCAGACGTGGCTGCTCCATCCAGTGAATTGTGTCCACGTACAGGCACCAACTGTTAAGCACCGCCCGGCACGGCTGTCCACTGCGCGCCTACAATCCTGGCCCATTGCTCCCACATGGAAGGGGGTTCAGTGGCCTGGAGAGATCTCCCCGGGGAGCCACGGTTCTAGCATCGCAGACCCATGCAAGGAGCACCGTCTCAGAAACACAGACACACACACAATATCTCAGACGGGACATCAAGTCCCATTACTCATGACACACACAGCCAGCCTTGCCCCAGACGGATAGTCCCCAGTAACTCACCAAGACTCCCCTGACAGATGTCTGTTCGCGTGGCTCCATCCACAATGAACTGGGGGCTGGGACACAATTCCTGAAAGCAAGGGGGACAAAACATGGGTCACAAGACACCCTGCACTGGTCGCAGCTGGGGTCAGGGAGCTCCACTGTCAGAGCAGAGCCTGGAGGAGGCCAAGTCACCTACTGTGAGTCCCTCACGCTACTGCTGATAACTCTGCAGCCCAGCAAAGGGAGGAGGCCGTGGGGGGGTGAAGGCCAGGGTGCAAGACGGGGGTGCAGGGCAGGGGTGCAGGGCGGGGGTGCAGGGCAGCAGCCGCAGCAGCCACAGCCTGCCTCCCCACTGTCCACCCGAATCGGTGTGACTGTGCACACCATGCCAAGCGCCGGTGTGAGCGGCGGCCAGAGAAGGGCGGAGGCTGGCGTTGATGTGCTCGAACACGACCTCCTTCTCAGACAACACCCCGGTTTGCACAGAGAGCATTAGATCAATGTTCCGCAGGCTAACTACATGCTGTGTGAGCTCACTAACTCCCCGATGACGTGCCCATGGCCCCAGGCGCTGACGCTGATGCTGAGTGAGGTGTCGGGGGCAGGGGAGGGCGGTTCATGCAGCTGATCCGCGCTCCCTGCGCTCAGGACCATCAGGGTGGCACCGGCCTGGGGCACCACTGGGGCCCCGCCAAGCACTTTCTTCCCTGTTTACCCAGCACGACTGCTGGGCGCCCACCCTGCACACATAGCCTCACGGGGCAGGCACGAGGGTGACGGGGGAAGGGAAGAAGAGCACAGGCCTCACACTCGAAGTGCATCCAGTGTGGGAAACCCGGACTGACCTTCACGGAGAAGTCGGAGACAAGCCAAGTGCATAACAATGGGTGCGGGCTTGTGCACAAAGGGGGAAACATGAAATGCCTGGGAGGGGTGGGTCTGGGAGGCTCTCCGGGCAGGAGAGGATGCCTGCCCGTCGTTTAGAAAGACAGTCTCCTAGACTGTCGGACAGGGGTGTCCGGCTAACCCCAGGCAGACGGTCACGGGCAGTCGTGGGTCTTCAAGGAGCAAAGAGGCCCCTGTGACTGACCACAAGTGCATCAGAACGCCGGGGAAGCCGGTGGCGGGGCCAGCACCAGGAACTCGGATCCCGCCCTGCGCTGCGGACCGTGGGTCCTGCAGTGACAGCCCCACACCCTGCACAGCGCCACCAGCTCGTGTCTAAGTGGGCAGGAACAGTGCCTTCCTGCCGGCTTTCTTTTCTTCCAAGTAGTAAGAAAAATTCATTCACTTGTGTTTTGTTGAAAAATATATGCACATAAGTTGAAAAAAAAGTCTAAGTAAATAATGCCCATAAAACCGAAATCGCTTGCATTCAGAGTCCTCGCGGCTCACATTTCTTTTGTATTCTTTCAGAAACTGTCTGTTCTCATAAAAGCATTGACATGTACATCCGTTTTTATCACAAATGTATTGTACCTCCTTTCCCAGCACAGAGCGAGCCTTAGAATTTCATCCTAATTTCTGCTAGCTCTTCAGCCAGCCCTCCCCGGGCGGACCCTCCATTCTATTCCTTTGTTTCCTGCTTCTGCGATCTCCAGGGCAATTTAGACCAAGACCCAGCGTCAGCCAAGCTAGGTGTTCTCAAAGCTGCAAATTCAGAAGGTGGAGAGATTTGGGAAATTAATAATTAAAAAGGGAGGGGCAGAGCGCCTGAGTGGCTCCATCAGTGAAGCGTCTGCCTTCGGCTCAGGTCATGATCCCAGGGTTGTGGGATCGAGCCCCACATAGGGCTCCCTGCTCAGTGGGGAGCCTACTTCTTCCTCTTCCTGCTGCTCCCCCAAATCGTGCACACCCTCTTTCTCTCTCTGTCAAATAAATAAATAACATCCTTTTTTAAAAAGAGAGAGACAAAAAAATCATATTAAATTTCATTTGGAACAGGAACGTGCGGCTTCGTTGGGAAGGAAGGGAAGAGAACACACTGAATGGGGTCTCACAGACTCTTGTTCCTTAAAAACCCTCTTAAAAGAGTGTCCTCTCCTATCACCCGTTCATCCATCAGTCTCCTGAAATCTGGTTTCTACCTTCGACCAGAACCACAGAGGGAGAACCGTTGCCCAAGGTGCTGACTGCCCCCCTCCCTCCTAGCCCCTGCTGGAGCTCTCCTCCCTTGGCTTCTGCATCCCTGCTTGCCCTTGTCAGTACCCTCACCTCTCTAAATACTCCTCCTCCGTCCTCTCCTTCCTTTGCTCTGCTAGCCCTTCAGAGTCAGGGAGCCCTCCACCAGGGTCCTCAGTGCTCTGAATGATTCCACGTCCTACGGCAACACCACGCGCCAGGCACTCCCTCCTGGGACATCACCCAAACCCCAGCCACGGAGTATGACGATCCCCCGATGGCTCCCCTGAGCCGCACAGATCAGCCACCCACGTCACTGACATAGGTCACGTGCTGCCAGCCTCAGAGCTAACGGGTCCATGAGCTCGGCTACAATCTTGCATCTGGTGCGGGAGACAGACTGGTTCATGAGGCTGGCCGCAATTTCACGGGTTATAGGCAGAATGGCACAGAGTGATTTATAGACAGAGGGGATGTTCCTGTCCTCACATCATTTGTTAGCATAATTCAAAACACCTCCGCCCAGAAATACCAACCAACAAGCACGGTGACTCACAGGTCCTGTGCGTCCTCTAGAGCCCACAGAAAGCCCTCCCAGTCACCACGTCCTGCCTGTGGGACCCGCACTTGGGTGGGGGGATGCAGGGGAAAGTGGCAAGCAGAGCGTTTTGGGAGAGGGGGGCCTCCCATGCCCCATCCTTCCTCCTTCATAAGCAGCTCGTGTCTTCTCCATAATCATGTTTACCGCCCTGTGGGTAAGGAACTCAGACACAGACACAGACACAAATTACTCAGGCTTGTGCCAGCCCCTGACGCAGGGCACCGGGGAGCCCCAGGCACCGTGTTGAGTCCGAGGCAGGAAGTGACTGGGACCGCACATTCTCAGTGACCATGCTCCCCCGGGGCCATTCCAGGAGCTCTGGTTCAGGACTACGGTACACCCCATGCTGCTGCTACACTCGTCACCATCGCCACAGTTACGGCCACATCACAGCCCGGCATCCCTGCCCCTTCAGGTCCTGGACCCTTCGGAGCTTCCCGCCTCACCTCCATCTCCCCCTGTACTCCCTCTCTCATTACCACCTTTCCCAGGCCGTGTTCACCCTGAACAAAGGCGCAGAGCCTGCCCGGGCCTTCCTGCTCCCGCTCCTTCCCAGCCCTGCTCAAATGTCTGGACCTCCACATCACTGACCGGCCCCCGTTCCACAGTCAGGTGTAACTGCTTCCTCCGCAAGCTCCCACGCACGTTGTTGTATGTGTGCTTCCCCCTCTGACATGAATAACAGAGACACTCCTAGTACTGAGCTCTGTTACATGCCAGGCACCATGCGAAACCCCACAAGGTAGATAATGCTATTTCTCCCCTTTTACAGGTGAGGGAACGGAGTCCTAGGGAGCTCGGGAAATCACATGGCGTCACAGGCCCAGTGAACAGCACGGAAGGGACCAGAATCCCGATCCAGCTGATGCCCAAGTCCGCGCTCTCAGCCCACTGTCCTACTGTCTCCCTCCGACCAGAAAGAGCTCCTCCGAGGCTCTGCGCCCACATGCACATGTGACCTGCACATAAATATGGCTGAACTGAAAGTCCCCAGCTCATCAGTCAAGAGCAGCGGCTGGAAGAAGGGCGGCCGCCCCCGACAAAGGCTGGTCTCCTTATCCGAACCCTTATCTCCCAACAGTCACACTCTCCACGTCTCCCTTAACCTGGGCTGGCTGCTTCCTGGGTCCATTTGGTGTGCTTGACCCACCTTGCTCCCCTCTCTGCATTTCTCCTTAAGATCAACGCACTCATCAAATGACAGAAATGCACAGAGAAAAGTCTCGTCCACTGGGCCGTGCTTGGGCCCATGCACACCGGGCAGCCCTCAAACCACAGGCCCGGGCTGGCCATGTACATGGCAAGATGGGGAAGCCAAGAATGGAGAGGGCTCTGCGGAGAGCTCTGTTGGTCTCACACACTGCCATGGAGTCTGCAACAGCGCCGCTGTTCTTGCCCAATGCCACTGGGAACATCACTGTAGAGGCATGAGATCCCAAGCTTGACCCTGAGGTCTTCAATCTGGGCCAACCTATCTTCCACCGTTAGAAGAAGAGCCCAAGCAGACCTTCCATTTAGCAGCTTAAAAAATAGGAGAAAAAAAAAATGGGTGCACCTGGGTGGCTCAGTTGGTGAAGCGTCTGCCTTGGGCTCAGGTCATGATCCCAGAGTCCTGGGATCAAGTCCCACTCGGGCTCCCTGCTCAGCGGGGAACCTGCTTCTCCTTCTGTCTGCTGCTCGCCCACTTGTGCTTCCTCTCTCCCTCTTCCTTTCGCAAATAATTTTTTTAATCTTTTAGAAAAGTAGGGCAAAAATAGGCAAAAACACCTGGAAGGGGCAGGATGCCAAATTTTATGATTTCAGAAAACATCTAAGTAGCAAGCTTCATTCTATCATCAAGAGGGCAAAAGCATCCACACATACATATTCAGCAGATCCCATCTGCTTTCCTCTCGGGACAGGTCAAATTTAACACCTTTGTGAGAAGCAGGGTCATCACAGTGCTGGTGTGAAGTCCCGTGAGACCAACAAAGTCAGGTGTCACCCTCAAACGCAGCCAGGGACACAAAAAAGCCAATGACCCCATTTAAACATGAGCAAATGATTCGAACAGACAATACTCCAAAGAAGACATCCAAATGGCCAACAGACCCACGAAAAGATGTTCAACATCACTAATCAGCAGGGATACACAGATCAATGGGGCGTCTGGGTGGCTCAGTCATTAAACATCTGCCTTCGGCTCAGGTCATGATCACAGGGTCCTGGGATGGAGTCCCACATCGGGCTCTCTGCTCAGCAGGGAGTGTCTGCTTCTCCTTCTCCTACTCTCCTTGCTTGTGTTTCTTCTCTCACTGTGTCAAATAAATAAATAAAAATCTTTAAAAAATATTTTTTTAAACTTTCTTTAAAAAGAAACCAAGAAAATGCATTTTGTTTCTTTTTTTTTTTTTAAGATTTTATTTATTTGACAGACAGAGATCACAAGTAGGCACAGAGGCAGAGAGAGGGGGAAAAGTAGGCTCCCTGCTGAGCAGAGAGCCTGATGCAGGGCTCGATCCCAGGACCCTGAGACCATGACCTAAGCCAAAGGCAGACACTTAATCGACTGAGCCACCCAGGTGTCCCTGCATTTTGTTTCTTTTATAAAAAACATCAAAAATAGAATCACCGAATGATCCAGTGACTCCACTTCTGCGTAGACACCCGGAAGAATCGAAAGCATGGTCTCAAAGAGATATTTGAATAGCGTCTTCGTAAAACCGTGATCCGTAAGAGCCAACAGGTGGAAGCAACCCACAGGCCCCTGGATTCATGAATGGGTGTAAACGCTCTGGAGGTGGTGACAGGACGGCTGCAGCAGTGGAAATGCTCTTGGCACACACTTAACATGGTTAGATGGTCTTCCGTTAAGTTCGTTTTACCGCAATTAAAATAAGGAAAGGAAGGAAGGAGAGGAGAGACAGAGTGGGGAGGGAAAACGCAATGGAGCAAGCGATCTCCTTAGGGCCAAGCAGAGCGTCCTCATCCCCGTCTCTCCCACCCCGGGCTCCTTGGGGTCCTCCAGGTCCACTAGGTTGTAGCCTCCTGACGCCGCAGGATCCCACGGCTCGTGGTTGTCCCCATGGAACACTTCCATCTTTCTTCCCAGGGTGTCCACGCCTCACCCCTGTGCTGTCTCCCCCCCATCTCCATCAGAGTCAGGACCAGAGCAAACTCCTTGCGTCTCCCTGACCACCGCCCCCCCCCAGGTGCAGGCAGCCCCCTGCACAAAACACACCTGCCCGTTGAATCACCTCTTGAAGCGAGAATCCAAAACTGATTCTCAGTCCGGATTTTGCCCACACCTCAGATTAACCACACAGGTTTCAGGGGGACGGGAAGGTGGGCCATGGTGGCTGCAGGGAGCAGGGCGGAGGGTGGAGGGGTCCTTCCAGCCGTGGCAACCGTGTGCAGACCGGGTGGGGAAAACAGCAAAGGGGTAGAGGTAGCTGGAGCTGGCCCGTGGTCCTGACCACATCTGAAGAGCCCTTCTGTCCTCATGCTCCCTCTTCCACCACTGCCAAGAAGACAGGTCCCACGGCTCAGTTTTCCCATCGTGGTTGAGGAGACAAAAGGGGCCTGGCCAGGAGCCGCTGAGCCTAGTCCCTTGTGGCTCATTTTGTGTACCAGACACAGGACAGAGCCCTTGATTCACTTGGGCTCACACCCACCCTGCAGAAGGGCTCCGATCCGGCAGCTCAGACCACGTGACAAGGGTCATGGAACAGGAGGCCACGGGCCGAGGTTTGGGAAGGACGGTTCTCCATCCCCTGCCCTTGGGCACCATTTCACAGAGGAGAAACCTGAGGCTCATAGAGTTCACCTGTGCAAGGAAGGCCCAGCTGGGGTTCAAATCTAACTTGTCTGCTTCCAAAGTCCAGGAGTGCTCTTCCCTCCGTCCCTTGCTGCCTCCAAAAAGGCTTTAAAGGAGGGTGAGGGTAGGGAGTGGGGGAGCTGTTCTAAAATACGGACCTGGAAGAATGATTTCTCCCTCAAATAATGACTTCTCCCTCAGCTATTTGCCTGAAGAAGCGACAGCCCTCTGTCCCATCTGACACCCAGCAGCAGGCCTGGCTACTCACCCTGGGCCGTTTCCAGATGACTCCTTGGGTTTGCGGGGAGTGAGGCCCCAGATCCTTGTAGCCCAAGGCAGACGGGCACGCAGGGAACTCTGGGTCCTTAAAGAGGACTCCTGAGTCCAAGCACTGTCGCCTCAGGCTCTCAAAGTCCTGGCCCAAGTACTTCATGGCTTTCTGGTGGGAGCCAAGACCTTCTGCGGCCGCCCGCCGCCGGGCTACTCTGGCCACCGGGGCTGACATGGCCGTGGGCTCCGTGGGGGACACGGGAGACGCAGGGCAGAGCTGCACAGGGTTGTCCGACACCTGCCGTTGGGAGGCCAGGCAGCTGTCACCCTTTATGCGAGGGCCTGCTCCCGAGGGAAGTGAGTCACAGTGCGAGCAAATGTGTACCCACGTGCTAATGAATCTCACCCACCTCCCCCTTCAGCAAACAATTAGGAGGCTGGGAGCCTCATAGAGCCCCTCCCTAAGAAATCTGTCGGGATGACAGCCATCCCTGCCCCAGGCAAGGCCAGCTTCCCTGCCCTTGGCCCCTGTGGCTGAGATGGGAAGACGGGTCCAGCAGCTTAGGCAGGTGTCTACCCCAGCCGGGGCAGTGGCTCTGAGCAGGACGAGGGTGAGGGGCTGGGGCTCTGCCTCCCTTCCAGGAAAGTTTGATTCCTAATCTGCTAGGGAGTCAGAGATACCGGAGATCTGCAGGAAGGATCTGGGTGAGCCCCCAAGAAGGCGGCTCCGAGTGTAAACAAAGCTTTTGGGTCTCTGGCCCAGCTCCACCAGTAATTAGCTCTGTCGTTTTGAGCAGCCTCCCTTCCCCTTAATGTTCTCCTCCCTAAAATGGAAGATAATAGTAGGACCCGCCTCTCAGGGCTGGGCGAGTGACGAGCTGGAGCATGAGTATGGCTCAGCAGGGCTCCGTGGTCCGCGGCAGTTGAGGCCATTCCTGGGGAACGGGGCTGGAAGGGAAGGCCCAGGGCTCAGAGTCATGGGCTCTCCTCCCAGAAAGGAAATGTGACCTGGGACTTTCTTGTGGCTCCAATTTCCGGGGCCTGGTCTACTGGAAGGATGTGGACCCCATCTGTGATTTTTCTGCTAATGTTGACTACTGGAGTGTAGTTGACCTGTAACGGTCCATCAGTCTCAGGTGTAGACCAAGTGATTTGACAACTCTAGACATTGTGCTCCCCACCATGAGCATGGTGGCCCCCTGCCACGGCACAACAAGATCAGCACAATATTGTCACCTGTGTTCCCCTCGCTGTGCTTCCCGGCTCCATGACTCACTCATCCCTGGACATCTGTGTCTCCCATTCCTGGGACCTGTCCTGCCCGTCCCCCTGCTCCCCACCGCACCTGGCCCTCCGGCGACCACTAGTGAGCACATGATGGATTTCTGAACTTTAGTGCATGCGATAGCCTGGAAAATGGTCCCCCAAAGACACGGGACCTAATCTCTGGAACCTATAAATAACGGGTTGAAAAAGGACCTTTACAGAGATGACCATGTCAATGCTCCTGAAACGGGGAGATCATCATGGCCTTAACTGCAGCCACGAGTGCCCTCCCAAGATGCAGGTTAGGGGGATGTGACAACAAGGAAGAGCTAATGTGTCACAGGGACAGAGGCTGAAGCCACACAGCCGCGGGCCATGGATGCCAGCAGCCATGGGAACCTGGAGGACGCCCAGGGTCTCTGCAGGGAGACTGGCCTCGCCATTCAGTGGGTCTGACGTGGGTCCTGGAGTTAGGGACAGTCTGCACAAAACACTTAGGGGGCTGGGCAGGTCCGGACAAGCAGCCAGCTGTCCACAGTACAACACGGTTCCTCCGGTTTCACCAGAAGCTCCAGGCCCAAGCTGGCATCAGAGAGACTGCAGGCCTGGCCCTTCCGGGGCCCCAACTTCACTCACTCAGGCCCTTTCCTTGGATTCACCATCAGCCCAGCGTCCACTGTCCCACTTCACCAGCCCCCAGATGTGCCCCTGGTCTCACCTGGTGGCCCCATCCTCCTTTAAAACCAGAACCACAGAACCACAGCTCCGTTCCTTCTACACAACATCCTCCTGAGCACCATGGTCTCCAGGAGAAATCCAGCTGCTGTGTGTGGGAAAGGGAAGGAAATACTTATTCCCACTGTTGAATCCATGGCCCAAGCCCTGAGGCCCACTTGGGTAGTCTGACTCCACCCAGAGCGCTCATTTCAAACACAAACCTGGCCGTGCTTCTCCCCTGCTAGGGGCTGCCCAGTGCTCCAAGGAGAACGAGGAGGGAGGGGGCTGTGTGGCCCGTAAGACCCTAAGCATCGGGTCCTTTCCTCCCTCTAGTCCCCGCTCCTGTCTTTCCTCCAGGTCCGGGAATGTGGGCTTCCACGTGGGGCACCCTCTGCTCACCCACCCCAAGGGACCCTGAAAAGGCTCTCCGGACTCTGCCCCCCACAACCCACCTGCTCTGACACACTCTCTAGTGAGCTTCAACGCCCTGGCCGCCTCTGCATCCACCGGACTCTGACCCCCACAAAGACACCTGTCTGTGTTCTTCTGTGTTCTGCTCCTCGCCACTGTGTCTCTGGAACCCCAAGAGTCCCCCGGAGTGTAGTGGGGACTGAATACATATTTGGCGAATGCAGGGTTTGGAGACAGCACACCTTTAGGTAGGGACGTCCGTGGACCGAAGGGGGGGACTTCGCGGAATTTCTATCCCCAGCTCCCCTTCCCCCCCGCACCTCCTGGCATACCCCCGGCATATTGATGGAGCGAGCAAGTCCTTCCTCCATAGCAGAGTGAGCACAGCTGGTGATTTTCTGTCTCCACGAGGGATTTTTGCAGGGTGAGCGCCCTCCTTCCACCTGCCCGCCTGAATCCCCCTCGTCACATCCAGATGCTGTGAAATCAAGCCCTTCTCCTGGCAGACAGATCCGAGCCCTCATTACCGGGGTGGGAAAGCAAGGCACGCTGAGTCAGGAGCCTTCTGATCACAGGCCCCTCCTGAAGAGACAGCGGACGCCTCCCCATGACCCCACAGCAGCCTGTGCCTGGGGAGCTCCATCAACCAGGACAGATGTCTGCACAGCCTCACACCCCAGATACACACAAGAGCAGCCACCAGCTCCCTGCCAGGAAGCCCCGGGTCCCAGAGGCTGGGGAGGCCGAGCAGGATCGCCCCTCATGGCACCTGAGCCACACAGCCAAGCCAGAGCCCTGGGCTTGATCTACAGAAGGACCTGGGCTGTGTCGTCCCCTCGGCAAGGGCTGTGAGTCACCTAAAGACCTGAGTGTGTGCTTTTCAGACACTTACAGTTTGCCAAGCTTCCTGTCGTGCACAACTAGAACTTCAGGAAGGAGAGGGCGAGAGCAGGCAGCACTCTCTCTCCTGGACTTCCCCACCTTGGAATTCTAAGGCAGGCAAGGGGCGAATCCGACGTCAGGCTTTGCTGAGGTTCACGTTTTGAGAAATACCCAGAATAGGCAAATCTGTAGAGATAGAGAGGAGGTATTGGTTGTCAAGGGCTTGCCAGGCAGGGGAACTGGGATTGACTACAAACAGGTATAAGGTTTCTCTTTGGGGTGCTGGAAGTGTTTCCGAGCTGGATGTCAGTGATGGTCCCACAGCACAGCGAGGGTGCCAAGAATCACAGAACTGCGTACTTTCAACTGGTGAGTTTTAGAGTGTGTGAATTTCTTCTCAAAAGAAAATGTAAAAGAAAATAGTAGGATGGAAAAGACCCGCTGTGATCCACGTGCTCGTTGGCAGTCTCTAAGGAATCCCCAGACCCCACCTGCCCAGGACATCGAGTATCCCCTCATGCCCAAGAGTGCCCGAGCTGGATACCACACCCTGTGCACCAGCGCGAGCAAGCGGGAGGGGCGTCCGGAGTGTGGGTTCACCCCTCTCCTGGTCTGGGGGAATCACAACACCCCAGGAGGGGCCCAGCCAAGCTCAGCAACCAACCCAGATCCCACTGACCCGTTATGACAGAGTGAAGCTGTGAACGCCTTGGGCTGGATAGAATGTCAGGTCCACAGTTGATCAGAGACCCACAGAAGGTCTGTATGTAGACCAGATTGTCAGGCTAGCCCACGGTCACTCAAGTGGCAGAGCTGACCCCAGGTCTTCTGATGTTCATGTCCACGTTCTTGCCATGAAACAGGACCTGCATGGCCTACAGCAGAGAGCCCTGACCCGAGATAGGAAGAAGTCCACTGACTCAAGTGGCCTCTGCCCCACAAAGCTGCTGGGCAGAGTAGACACTGGGCAGAAGGATAAAAGAACAAACAAGCACTGTTCCTGCCCATGGGGTACACCACTATGGGAAAGACAGAGCAACACTCAGAGAAAGGAGTGACAATTCTGAGGCGATAGGAGATGAGGAAGGCTTCCTGGAGGAGGTGGCATTCCAGCTGGATCCTGAAGAACAAGAGACTTGAACTGGCTGGGGGGCTTGATGAAAGCCATGAGGAGGGCACCTGGGACCAGGCAGAGCAAACAACACCTGGAAGGAGTGTTGGCACTCCAGAGCGGCTGCCGCGGGCAACGTTGAGAGACTGGTAGAAGGCGTGCAGGGCTCCACGTGTGGAACTCTTCTCTGGAGCTGGGAGGCCGCTGCTGACAACCAGGCAGGAGCTGATGATGGCCACGTAGGGCAGTGGCCAGGGGCCATGGCAGATGGGAGTTGTGCCCACTGAACCTCATCCTGTGATCCTTCAGAGAGCAGCGTGTCGCCTGGCGGCCTCCTGTGTGTTCTTAGTCCTGTTGTCAGGGCGTCACTGTGTCTCGTACCGCCTGCCCTCAGTCCCCGCTGCCATGGCCATGGCTCCCGTGGCCATGGCTGCCGTGCATCGTCCATCTCCCTACTGGACCTCCTCCTTCGGCACACAAACGGTGTCAGGGTTTCCAGCCCCCACAGCCCCGCCCCCTCCCTCCCTTTCTCAGTACAACACGGTTCCATCAGAGGCGCGGGACCCTCATGGAGCCAAGTTCTCCCCACCCAGCCTCACTTCTCGTCACTCAGTCAGACACTCAGCGGAGACCACTGGCCGATGGCCCTCATGACCATGAGGTTTGTGGTCACCAAAACCAGTGCTCACTTCTCGTCCACCTCTTACCTGACTACCTGTAGCATTTGGACACAGGTCAACGCTCTTTCCTTCTGGAAAAGGAGAGAAGGAAACAATTGCATGAGGGATGTCCTTGAGTGGGTAAGAGGCCCACTAGGCTCAACCTAGAGGCTGAAGGGGAAGGCTGTT